TTTGCCCATTCCTCCTTGCAAAACAGCTCGAGCTCAGTGAGGTTGGATGGAGTTGCTGTGAAGAAATTGGATGAAATTGAAAATGGATGAGCCTGTGATTTTCAGTGTGATTTTGAATCCAGCCTCCATGGGCTGATGATTTTGGCTTCCATCGACTGCTGTTACAGTGCCTTGCGAAAGTATTCGGCCCCCTTGAACTTTGCGACCTTTTGCCACATTTCAGGCTTCAAACATAAAGATATAAAACTGTAATTTTTTGTGAAGAATCAACAACAAGTGGGACACAATCATGAAGTGGAACGAAATTTATTGGATATTTCAAACTTTTTTAACAAATAAAAAACTGAATAATTGGGCGTGCAAAATTATTCAGCCCCTTTACTTTCAGTGCAGCAAACTCTCTCCAGAAGTTCAGTGAGGATCTCTGAATGATCCAATGTTGACCTAAATGACTAATGATGATAAATAGAATCCACCTGTGTGTAATCAAGTCTCCGTATAAATGCACCTGCACTGTGATAGTCTCAGAGGTCTGTTTAAAGCGCAGAGAGCATCATGAAGAACAAGGAACACACCAGGCAGGTCCGAGATACTGTTGTGGAGAAGTTTAAAGCCGGATTTGGATACAAAAAGATTTCCCAAGCTTTAAACATCCCAAGGAGCACTGTGCAAGCGATAATATTGAAATGGAAGGAGTATCAGACCACTGCAAATCTACCAAGACCTGGCCGTCCCTCTAAACTTTCAGCTCATACAAGGAGAAGACTGATCAGAGATGCAGCCAAGAGGCCCATGATCACTCTGGATGAACTGCAGAGATCTACAGCTGAGGTGGGAGACTCTGTCCATAGGACAACAATCAGTCGTATACTGCACAAATCTGGCCTTTATGGAAGAGTGGCAAGAAGAAAGCCATTTCTTAAAGATATCCATAAAAAGTGTCGTTTAAAGTTTGCCACAAGCCACCTGGGAGACGCACCAAACATGTGGAAGAAGGTGCTCTGGTCAGATGAAACCAAAATCGAACTTTTTGGCAACAATGCAAAATGTTATGTTTGGCGTAAAAGCAACACAGCTCATCACCCTGAACACACCATCCCCACTGTCAAACATGGTGGTGGCAGCATCGTGGTTTGGGCCTGCTTTTCTTCAGCAGGGACAGGGAAGATGGTTAAAATTGATGGGAAGATGGATGGAGCCAAATACAGGACCATTCTGGAAGGAAACCTGATGGAGTCTGCAAAAGACCTGAGACTGGGACGGAGATTTGTCTTCCAACAAGACAATGATCCAAAACATAAAGCAAAATCTACATTGGAATGGTTCACAAATAAACATATCCAGGTGTTAGAATGGCCAAGTCAAAGTCCAGACCTGAATCCAATCGAGAATCTGTGGGAAGAACTGAAAACTGCTGTTCACAAACGCTCTCTATCCAACCTCACTGAGCTCGAGCTGTTTTGCAAGGCGGAATGGGCAAAAATTTCAGTCTCTTGATGTGCAAAACTGATAGAGACATACCCCAAGCGACTTACAGCTGTAATCGCAGCAAAAGGTGGCGCTACAAAGTATTAACTTAAGGGGGCTGAATAAATTTGCATGCCCGATTTTTCAGTTTTTTATTTGTTAAAAACGTTTGAAATATCCAATAAATTTCGTTCCACTTCATGATTGTGTCCCACTTGTTGTTGATTCTTCACAAAAAATTACAGTTTTATATCTTTATGTTTGAAGCCTGAAATGTGGCAAAAGGTCGCAAAGTTCAAGGGGGCCGAATACTTTCGCAAGGCACTGTATTTTTTCTTGTTGCTGGTTTTGTTGTGATGGTGGTTGCTGTCCCATGGGTCTTGGTGGCTGTCATGGAGGACCTCCACCTCTGCATGGCATGCCTCCTCTCCCGAATAACTATCCTCTGCCCTGTGGTTAATTTGGATGCACGTGGATTTGTGGCACCTGTGGGGGCTATGGTTGGAGATGGAACTGACGCTGATAGTGTAGGTGGTGTCCTGTTGATGTTAAGGCCTTGCACCTGTGATTCAGTTATTATTACTGCTACTTGCAGCTTCCACTTGTCTCTGTCCTTCTTAGTCTTGGTCAGCCTTCCCAGTTGCAGCTGTGTGAGCTTGTTTGCCTGCTGTCTCCCTCATCTCTTTCCTGTACTGTTCCACATGGTGCACCACATCCTCTGAAAAAATTGGGCCAATCCATCTTCATCAGCTCTCCCACATTGTCCAAAAGCTTTTGCACCTGTTGTGCCTTTATTTTTTACCAGCAGTTTAAACCCTTTAAACTTCTGCCATATGATAAAACATTGACCACAATCAGAATGCATAAATTATCAAACCATCTTATATTTTACTACTGCATATAAAATACATCAAAACAGTATGTAACCTGACAATGCCTTAAATCTCTCCCCATTACTAAAACACAGCATTTAACACTCAGTGATTAAAAACAAATTACTGCTTAATTTAAAATGTGACTCACATTCACCAGTTTGTCTTGTAAAAAGAATAGATAAAAAATAAATAAAACTCCAAATCAGGTTAAATAAAACAATATTTCCACAACATCACAAATAAAACAATGTCCAAATAATTACTAAATAGCTCAAAGTTCAGTGACTGTTTATACCCAATGTATTTTATTCTATAATAACCATACAGACACTGCTGTCACTTGTGCCTGAGTGTGGAGGGTGCTGGGAGGCCTACACAGATTTCAAAGAGCATTTGTGTTTTCAAGTTGAATATCCTCAAAATAATCATGTACCAGCCTCTGAGATAGGAACAGGTCAAATGTACAATTAAGGAATGCACCTAGTACACTGATTCAAATTCAATTCACATTTTATTTTTATAGTGCCAAATCACACCACCACGGGCGCCGTTGGGGGGGGGGAGTTAGTACGATTCTAAGGGCCCACGAACTTTGGGGGCCCACAGAGACTAGCTTAGAGGGCGGCTGGGGTGAGTGAATAGAGGAGAGAGAAAAGGAAAAAAAAAGCAACAAGACAACAACAAACAAGCACAGGTTGATGTGGCTGGTGACTGCCACACTCAAGAGATGTAGCGCTCCAGAGGCAGGGCAACCTGCAGAAAGGTACAGGGAGAGAGAAAGAGGACACACTACGAGAGAGAGGAGACACAGTTAGTGATGGGTAGTGGTGGTATATAAATGTATGGAAGAAGAAGAGAGGATAGGAGAGGAGAGGGGAAGAGAGGAGAGAAACTTAGAGTATCATGGGCCCCCCAGCAGCCTAGGCCTTATAGGCTCTATTCCATTATCAAACATAATAAGGGTTGTTGTTGAAGGCTCTATTCTATTATAAAGCCTCATCCGGTTCTTTCAAACCAGGAACTCAGAGGGACGACTCAGACCACTTGAGTATATAAAAAATATAACCGTGCTGGTTTATTCAAAAAGTCACAGGCAAGAATTAACACTTCAAGTCCAGAGATCTTCCAACCCCCAGGCTGCCCAAGCAGCCCGGAAACAGGAACGACCCCGAACCACGAATTCCTATGCAATATTAATCATTTCTGGGCTGTCGAACCGTGACGTCACCTGATATGCCAGCTTGGCAGCTGAGCAGAGCAGTAGACAAAACATGAAGAAAATAATGTGTGTGGCTGTTGTTTTCGTGGTGTGTATCTAAAACAATTTGACATAACATTACACATTAAGACAAATATTATGGTTACTTTTACCGTCATAATAACATTTGTCCCTGACTTCAGCTACCTTAACCAACCTTGCATTTAACAGCCTGAGGAAGACATCCTGGCTGCACTAACA